CACAAACCCCAAATATAGAGCGGAATCAAATCATATTTTGTTCCTGAAACCTCTGTTTGTTATTGAGGACTTATGCCCAATAGTCCTATAAAGATGAGGGATACAAATAATTCGTTAACAGAGTCTCCCTGACGCTCAAAAGACGGCTCAGATAAGCAGATTTCAATAAAGTACATCGGTTCGCCAGGCTTAAGCAGGGCTCTTCCATTTCTTGGAATGTTACCTTTCGCCTACCTCTCTTCCAAGTTTGAGGTCTCTGGTACAGCAGAACAAGAGGTAGAAATTTCCGGACAAACAGACACAAACAAGCCAGACCCACTTCGTGAGCGCCTCGCCCGTCATGAGCCAAATCCTCTCAATCCATGTGTTTAAGCTAACAACTTGGTTTATTCCCCTCCTTTTCAACTTGACTGCGCAAATTCGCCTAGATTACGCTCATTTTACCCAGTTCACCTGAATCCTCTCACACTCAGCGGGTGGGATCCAGAGTGACGTAATCCTACCGGCTGTACAACCACCAAATTTGATTGCCCCATGTCCAAATTATCAATGTTCGCGAACGCCCCGCTCCTGTGGGCGGAGTTCAGCACAACGTCACACACCAAAAATGTTCCTCTCCTACCGCCTGTACTCCTATCGTGTTTGAACGCACCGGGGTAGGACTTATGAATGCGCACGCTCTGCCTCCTGTGGGCGGAGTCAAGCCAAGCCACCGAAGCTAAGTATAACCATTCTGCTCTTCTAATCACTCCAAATTAGCGATTAATTTTCCTATATTATTTTTTCTGCTAGTTCTAAAACGACGTTTTTCCGAATGTACCACTGAATTCATGTGAAATATCACATGTGTCACCGATAAGTAAGTAAAGTATCTTACGGCTAAGTGATAATCATCTACCTGGTTTAGGCTAAATGAAATGTCTCTGACGAGCTCGAGTGATTGATCAGTCTTACAAGTTCCAGTTGATGGAAAAGTCACTATGAAATGGGACACAGTGGTAGTATCAATACGCTACGGTCAGGATGTGGAGGAAGTTCGAACAGGTAATATTAGCCATTTGTTGAAAGCTTACAAATTTCGATGGACCATGAGTGGCTGCCACACTCGAAAGTTGTTGCTGTCCTGTGTAAGCAGCTCTGCAGCTCGAGCTCCAATACAATCTGAATGAGGGGTATTTCTATCCTTTTTTGATCCCCTCTGCGCGAGTTTCGCAATAGTTTCTAGGTAATTCTATACTCCAGGAAAAAACGTATTCAGCAAGTGGTATCGGAACTACCTGAGTCCCACCTCTCTTCCGTCCATGGGAAGGCTGAATTTGATAAGTGTATTGTAGAAACGCAATTTCTGCTAGACTGTGGCCTGTTCGAGACGGAAACACTGCTGGTTGTTGCCGATCCATGCGACGACGTCGGTTCAGCAGGAAGTGCTCTGAACGCTCTTCTGACCACGGTAATTCGAGTTTCATAATCATCTTCTCTATGAAAAATCATGTCGCAGGCGGAACATCTCTGTGCTCGACGTGGGCTTTCTGTACTCAATGAATCGCTACTCGAATCCTCAAAAATCCTGATACTCCAGCTGGTTAGTGATTCAGTGAAAGTCGTACTGTATAAGTCACGAAATGTCGCGGTAATTCCAGGGTACACCTGGGGAATCTCTTCCTCTCGGAGCCGGCTTCCTTCCTTCGTCGAAAATCGCTGAATGCCCTTGGATCATGCCGGACTACCCAATAGTTCATACGATACGCAACGTAAACGTACTAGCCACGAATTGTGATTATGGAGTGTGGATTTGTGGTAAGAAGAAGTTCAACCCACTCTTATAAATTATTAAGAGACAACCGTTGGACGAGCTTGCAAGTGTATTATGAATTCTTTATTATTAAGTTAAAAATCTTGGGGCGTCAATCAATCCCGTCTGATGAGGGGAACGCCCTCGCATTCGTCTTCCGTTGAGAATTGTAGTGGCGTTATGAGTTCGCATCTGCCCTATACAATGAATTGCGATAGCCAGCCGATGTACAAATCAGCTTTTTATCTTCCCAGAAGAGTCTGGTACCTATTATCCCACCCCGAATAGATGAAAGACTTAGTTGGCTTAGGCGGATACCAACCCGAATTCGAACCCGTGACCACGTGGGAGTGAAAGTGCGCCACTTCCCATTACACCGTCTTCGCACCTATATATTCTTCATAAATGAAAACTCTTTTCCATTTTAAGCCTTGACACCCATTTGATTCATATACCCAGACGTAATATAGAAGGCCAATAGTAAGCTTCGGGTCCTTCAAGATGACATGGGAAGAGCTTGGAGCTTTGGAGTGATTGTGTAAGCACTGGACGAGTTTTCACTTACAATTAGTGCGTCATTAACACAACTACGAATGGTTTTCTCAATTCCCATTTCTTAAATTCCAGCTGTTTCACTAAATCTAAAATAGCAATATTATTTTTTCAATATGTATTATTAGCACACTGAATAATGCAGTATTCATGAACAGAGCTTGAGAAAAAAAAGGTTTGACTTCACGAGTTCTTTCGATTTCAGATGTTGAAAAAAATATAAATTAATTGAGTGTATTATTTCTTTAGCATATTTTTTAAGTCCCACCCATTATTCATCCCACACTTATCATGTGTTCCATTTATTTTGATATTTTAATACTACTTATTTTATTTCTAGGAACGGACACATTGTGGAAACTACCAGGTAATCCAAATAAATTCAGTCTCAAGCCTGACGAAATATCTGCGTTCTGCTTCGAGGGAGATTGTCAACAGACGTTAAGTCATGGAACATATCAAGTCGATGACGAGGTGGTTTTACATGGCCCCTTAACTGATGTGTCCGTGCACTCACCGTCTTTTTCACATTCGAAAAATTTAGGGCTTTGTCAGATCGTTGAGTTACCGCTGTCAATATGCCGGAGATAGCCCACAAGTGATCCTCGCTCTCCTCTACCTGCCTCCATCACTTTCTACTCGTTTCTTATCGCTATATTCT